GGAGACGAGGAGAGAGAGAGACGCAATGGTGTATACAAAAGAAAAAGGAACAGACGTTGGAAGAGACCAATAATAAGAACAAAGAAGAGAACGTAGAGAAAGCCAGAGTAGAATATGAAAAGGTTCATATAGTGTTTCATGTGTATTCCAACATCATCTTAAAGACATTGAGAATAGATAATTTTTGAGATCATTAAATTTTGAGAGAAAATTCTTTCTATTACTGATTATATGATTTTTTCGATCATTCTGATTGATAGTACTCATTCTTGTGTAGCTTTCTTGTCTAGAATCATTTTTTCTTAAGGGTAAGTAAAAATAAAGAATTATATATTTTTTTTTATTTTTTTCCGTCGTGTATACCTTGCAAACTCCAATATTTTTATACAGTTGTACACAATATCACAATGTCTCATTTACAGTGGCTAAAATAACGAAATTAATTCTTCATTTGTGTGGAGTTTGGTATAAGCGGTATCCTGTAATTAAGATTTCATTTTACACACAATGATATAGAAAAATAAGTAAATAAAATATAAAACAGAGCAATATGTATATATATATCATGATAAGCGTATGTATAACTACAATTTGGTTCATATGATCATGACAATAAATACGATTTTATAACAAGAGCGTTAGATGATTATAGCACAACAAATATAAAACCCTGTTAGACTAATTGTAATACAAATGTAATTACATGTAATGATAAAAAAATGTACATTGTCGATGTATATGAAAGCAATAAGCAAGCATAAACATTCACATTGAGAGACAGATAACAAAAGAGTATGTATATAGGTATAGAACAACAGATAGATAGATAAGTATATGGTCAGAGGTCTACACCAATACAGTCATTGTACATAAATGTTTATGAAACAAGTAATATGGTCAGAATTTTGCAGAAATATATATCTTAAATTATGTTTGCCAGGCGTAAACACTAATATGTATAACTCAATATATGCATTTGTGTGTGTGTGTGTATACATATATATACATATACAGATATATATGTACACACACACACACACACACAATCTATATATATATATATATATATAATATTATATATATATATATATATATATATATATATATGTGTGTGTGTGGTGTGTGTGTGTGTTGTGTGTGTGTGTGTGTGTGTGTGTGTGTGTGTGTGTGTGTGGTGTGTGTGTGTTGTGTGTGTGTGTGTGTGTGTGTGTGCGTGTTGTGTGTGTGTTGTGTGTGTATCTGTGTATGTGTGTGTGTGTGTGTGTGTGTGTGTGTGTGTGTGTGTGTGTGTGTGTGTGTGTGTGTGTGTGTGTGTGTGTGTGTGTGTGTGTGGTGTGTTGTGTGTGTGTGTGTGTGTGTGTGTGCGCGTGTTTACAGAAGACCAACATACAGACAGACAAACTGAAAGAGGAAAGACAGACACAGAAGAAATACAGACAACATGGAAGCAATTCTCCTAAAAGGTCACTTTCATCGAAAATATTTATATGTAGTTTTAAACTCTTATCGTCTCGGTGTTTAGTACAAAATCACTTGTTCCAGCAAGTTTCACAATTCACACTTCTTGGTTATACTCACGGTCGGTTTTCTATGTACTGCTACGGATAAAACACAGAAACAAAGACAAAACAAGAACAATACATTTCTTAACAAGAAATTCGTGCCTTTGTTGTAAAAAGAAAATGTGTTTGAACAACAGATACCTCAAACTCCATTAGTCTACAGCACACAGCATGTTCAATGTTTCTCGAAATGTTAGTCTAAACACAAGAAACAAAACAGAAGAAACACTGCGATCTACTAGGAACAGTTGCAGTGCGTAGATGGACAGAAAAGTTCATTATTGAAGCAGTTGTAGTCACACCAAACTGCTATACCAGGGATATACCGCCACATGCCCACACCGGCACACCTACCTGCATTTCTGTGGGGGAAGCTTTAGTTAAGATTCTGTTGCTTTACTGTCATTCACGGGTGTTCTTAAATGCACAAGAGGGTATGATGGTAAGACACTTTTAAGATTCTGATTTCAATGAGCTGGCACTGATACATGTCCTTGCATTCTTCCCTAAGAATTACTTAAAAATTATAATAATAAATAGATGAATAAATAAGAAATAAAAACTAATATATATATATATATATATATATATATATAATATATATATATAATTATTCACTTATTCATTTTGTTCTCAAACTACATAGCGACCATTACCCATATCAGAATTATTCTTCATATGACATCATTAAAAAATAATAATAATAAATAAAAATAAAAAATATATCATCATCATCATAATGAATCGTCATTATAATAATCCCCATCATCATCATTATTACTTACATCGGGTCTGGTCTTGGAGTCGTACTCGAGAGGGTCGTACTTCCCCCCGAAGAAGTCGTCGAGGAGGGGGTCGTCCTCGAGGGGTGGTACTCTCTCCAGGAGAAGTCGTCGAGGAGGGGTCGTCTCGAGGGTCCTCGTCGAGGGGGTACTCTCTCCAGGAGAAGTGTCGAGGAGGGGGTCGTACTCGAGGGAGTGGTACCTGTAGAAGTCGTCGAGGGGGGGTCGTACTCGAGCTGGTTCCTCCCTCCCTCCACAGTTCGGCCTTGAGGACGGGGTAAGGAGGCGCAAGGACGAGGACGGTTGCTGTTGGGGAGAGGAAGAAGGTGGTGGGAGAGGGGGAGG